ATAGCGGTTACTATCCATTGAAATGCATCGGTTACCGTGTGAAAAATCGTCTTTTGGCGTCAATTTTGAGGATTTTTGGTCGGTTTGCAGTTTCCATCGGGCCGTTAATCGATCGGTGAATGTATGGAAAGCGTTGACAGTCCGATTTTATAAATCTTAAAGGGTAAACCGGGAAATAATATCAACAATTGAAGTGTTCATTATCGAGATATTAGGATTAATAGGTAAAAAATCGTCTTTTTCTACCAATTTTTGACCTTTGGTGGCCCATTTGAATTTCTGTAGGCCCCTCACTATCCGATGGCAATGGATGATCATTACCTGGTTGAAACCTTTGCAAGTCTAGTTGGAATGTCGATTCAGCCGTGGCACTCACCAGAAACTTTCTTCCTCAATCGGACCTTTGATGATTCATTGTCGAATTAGCTTTGAACTGATTAAATATAAATGACACCATAAAGTTTCATTTATTAGTGAATCAGAGATCAAAGTATAAATTTTTGAAGCTGGTAGAGCAGTAATTTCATTTGGTAAAAGTGATCGCCTACATGCAAAACCTACTTAAGACGGATCTGACCGGAACCGGGAACGCGCAGAAAAATCGCTTTAACTCAGGAACGAATAGTTTCCCCAAGGTCAAACAAAGTGTGGTAGATGCAGAATTTCATGGAGAATCACCTCAACAGGTTTTTATTCACGTAGCAACGATTCCATGGAGCGGAGAAACGAAAAACGAAAAAAAGTCGAACCTTCAAAATCGAAAAAATCTATTTATGACTACGATAAATTACGCAACCGTGCGAACGGCATTAATATTCTAGTAGAGAATATTTTTTAACGTTTTTTAGCGCAAACTGCAGCACTTACACTCAAACTGTTCAGGAGATATCGAGTTTTAAAGTTTTGAAAAAATGGCAACTTTGCCCCCCTACCCCCTCCCCCCTAATTGTCCGAGGGGGCTGAAATTTTGCCCAAGCATCGGGGACACTTAGTACAACATCTGAGCAAAGTTTGGGCCAAATCCAAGAGGGGCAAAAATTGGCGTTTTTGGAACAACCTCTTTACAACGTTGTAGTCAAAAGTATTCTTACATATGACTGTGAAGTTTAACAGCTGAAGGAATGGACCCAGGGGACGCTGAGAGCTACCGAGATGGATTTCTGGAGGAGGTCGCAGAAGGAATTTTTAGGAGCGATCACGTCCGAATTGAAAGAGTGTGTCAGATCATGGGAGTCGAAAATATCATCCTATTCGATGTCATGATCAGAAACCTTGACTGGTATGGTCATGTCAATAGAATGATGGACGTGGGACTCCCAAAGAAGATGCTTGAATGGGTTTCTCCTGGGAGTACCATTTCGACGTTTGGTGCCGTTATACCAACATTTCAATTTCAGCTTCCATTTTGGCCACCACTTGTTTTTGGGGCCTTGGCATCAAAATCGGAGAGTCCACCAAAGATTGTCTCACTCTGGGGACCAAAATGAAGAGAGCAAACTTTCGTCACAAACGTGCAGACGGGACGTAGTTTTCGAGCACATGCTCCCCTGACTATGCAATAAGTCGCTTTTTCCCGTCATTTTTGAGCATTTCCGGCCGGTTTTAATTTCCGTTTAGATCCGTGCCCCATCGATGCACGTTAGTAAGTGTTTATTACTCGAAAGTATATACCTTAAGGTTGAAATGGCGAGAGAAAACTGGAAATTGCAGTTACAATCCATGGAATGCATCGGATATAGTGTGAAAAATCGTCTTTTTCGTTTCATTTTCGAGGGTTTTCGGTCGGTTTCCAGTTTCCATCAGGCCGTTAATCGATCAGTGATTGTATGGAAAGCGTTGATAGTCTGATTTCATACATCTTAGAGGGTAAACTGGGGAAAAATATCGATAATTGAAGCGTTCCTTATCGAAATATTGGGAATAACAAGTAAAAAATCGTCTTTTTTTACCAATTTTTGACCTTTATTGGCCTATTTGAATTTTTTTAGGCCCTTAACCGTCCAATAGCAATTGAAAAAAGTATATTAACCAAAAGTATAAATCTTAAGCTTGAAGTATAAAAAAAATCGAAAATCGGAGCGATTGTTTTTTAGATAATTGAGTTTGAACATTGAATGGCGAAAAAATAGTGAATTTTCAAAGACCCTAAATTACGGCCATTTAAATAATTTTTAACTCAATATCGATGGCATATTCAGAATCTACATGACAAATTGGTCTAGAAACACTCTCTCAAAGTATGATGGATTGATACAGAGTCTCGCTATGGAGAGTCAAAGAGAGGGAAGGCGAGAAAATGAGAATCACTAAAACAGGCTTTTTGGATACCGCTAAAATTCACCCCATCTTTGGGGGTCGATATCTCGCTAAAGGGGCGTCGGATAGGAAAACCCTTCAAATCGGTTTCTTAGAATGATGTAAAGACCTCTTATAGGGGAGAGGCTTGTACCTAGGAATGATTTTCCATTTTTATTTTTTTTTAAGATCCTTTTTCGAAAAATTTAAATCTTTCACGGCTATGGCTTACTGCTGAGGGTCCTTAGTAACATATATTTTTTTGGTTTGGTTCAGACAATTTTATAATAGTTTTTTTGGGATTTTAAAAATTCCAAAAAATCGTTCCAAGCTACACCATGGTGGTGTACCGTGGAATGGCATGGGCTGTACGTTGGAATGCATGACAAAAATCCTATATTCCTCCTACTTAATTGGCATTTAAGCTGAAAATAAAGCAGAACACACTCAAGTTCATTTACAGGATGTAAGTTCCATGATACTGGTGGGTTTAAGTCAAATTGAATGATGAAAGAGAACTTTTTTTTTTGAACTTTTCGATGATGTAACGCTATCCCTCATCCCTTGCAGAGAGCTTTGCAGATGTAAATTATTTTTTGAAGGAATTCAGCCTTTGCTTGAAATTTAAGACTAACTCTCTCTCTTAGAAGCAAAAGTTAAGTTTTTATTAAAAAAATAAGTGTTTTATTGAAAAACCCGTGTTTACAATCCAAGGTACAATTTCAGCCAAAAAAAAAAACAAGTCGTGATTTCTAGGTTAGGAATCCAACAACGGAGTTCAAAAAACTGTGTGCATGTAGTACATGCATGTAGGTTTCAAAATATAAAAAGTCCAGAGACCTGAAAAATATTTTAGGGGGGCAGCATCACTGTATCCCTTTCTAAAAATTTTTAAAAAGGAGGTCAAAATTCGATTTTTTTCGATATTTGACGGAGATGATGGCATAGAGCAACTTTTTCAAGATGAATCCCTTCGTTACACGTCAGGTTACCTTAATTCATTATACGAGCACTCTAGCGCTATTATGACGGAAAATATGAAATTTATTCCAAGGTACAACCATCCCGAGGTGCAAGCCTCTCCCCTACCAATTTTCAGCCAAATCGGAGGGGGTCGGGTTCCGAGCCTGGTACACTTGATGTGGAATGACCCCAGTGTCATTTTTAAAGTAAGGAATGTTTTTTATTCTGGGTTCAGTCAAATTTTTCGCATTAAATATTGATGAGACTTTTTGTCCCTTTCGATGAAAACCAATCATTTCGGTAACACGGTAGGGGTAGAGAGGAAGGTTTCACTATCAAAAGTATAAAGACACACAAGGGATGTTTTGACCACAATTTCATCAGATTATTGGACTTACCAAGTAAAAGCTGATGCAGGTACCTAAAACACTTTTGACAGGCTCTCAAAAAATGCGTTGAAAAGTATTAACTCTAATAACCATTTTGGGTTGATAAGGAAAAATGTCTCATAAAATTTACAAAACAGATTTTTGAAAGAAAGACTCGTGTATGAAGAGTTAGGGTCATTTGAATTCTTGATTTTACATTTTAAAAATTCACACTAAAAGGGTTTTATAAAAAAATACTTATCCACAATTTTTCTTATAATTGTCTGTTTAAAATTTACGAGTTTCTGAGTTTTTTAAACAGTCGGCACTGGTTTGATGTCCGTGCAAAGATAATTTGAGAAGAAGACAACTAAGAGGGATTGTAATAATAATTAGAATAGATAGCCCAGCAGGAATGGAGGCGGCTCGCATCAAGGTAGCTGCAGTCTTATTTAGGCAGCAAATTTAAATATCAAATATTTTGAGCGAATGTAATGGGAAGGCTAAGTTAATTCAGGAAACTGGATTTCACAAGCAAAAATCGGAGAATGCAATCAACTTATTAGATTGCACACCATTGTCGGGCAATAGTGTTTAAGTTAGGATCTAAATATCACTCCTCAAATGTGAAGATTTAAACCGCATTGCTGGCTCAACGTATCCGTCTACCTGATGTGTGAGCAAAAAACATAAGACAGGTACAGCAACAGTTCCACACCTCCAATAGTTTGCTGGTAAATGGGTCGAAAAAGTCACTTTTCAGCCTTGCTTTTTTCAAGGAAGGTACTTTGAAAGTTAGATTTTACGGGCTAATCATCCTTTGAAGGTTGATATCAAGGAAAATCATAAAATAATATCCAAATTTTGACGGCGCCAAGGTTTAGCGAACTCTTGGTAATGCTTAGTTCTTCTGACACCAAGATCATCTTGCTGAGATAAACCCCTGGGGAAGTTATGCGGTTTTGAAATTTTTAAATTTAAACCTGCTCTCCTTTTCCCTATGGGCTGGGTGAAATTTTTGGAAATTTTTGAGTCTTTGGGACAGCCCTCTATCATATCCGAGAAACTTGTCGGATTCGGCATGTAAGCCATTCTGGGCAGAAAGTAGCGAGTAGCAAATATTACTGAATTTACCTCGTCTTCCTACACTTTCCAGTAATTGAAAATCTGTGCATGAGAGTCAAAATCTGTTAAATTTCATTCAGATTTTTTTTTAACATGAAATCTCAAAATGCCTTGTATAAATAAGATATTCTCAATTTTTAAAATTTTCAGTGTAACTGAAGAGACTTTATCTTCAGCAAATACTTTAAAAAATTCAAGATCAATATTCTTTCAGCGAAGGATACTTTCCGATAAATGAGTAAAACTGACCAGATGGATCTGTGACCTGAAGTTGATAAGTACCGATGTTTACGCTCTCTAGGATGAAAACCCCATTATCTTTGGTAGTGGCTGCATCCTTGCCATTCAGCTGAATTATACAGTTCTTGATTGCTGCTCCAGCTTCTTTTGACAAAACTTTGCCTTCCACACTGAATCCAGTTACCTACAATCAGCGATTACTGGATGACAAAATTTAAGTATTTGAAGTTTTTAGTGCGATGCAGGAAAAAAATAAGTCTAATGGAAAAATGACGTTTTGTAAATAGGGAATGGATTGTACTGTATCCAGCAAGTTATGGCACTTGGTTAATTAGAATAAAAGGCACGATGTGGTGGCTGCAAGCTGCTACCTCCCATGCCATATGTCAATGCGCCGAATCAGTCTTTCGTCTTACAATGGACAACGGTGCCGCATTGACGTGCTAGAGGCTATATTTAGAGAACAAATGAGTTGAAAAATGACTTAATTCCTTTTAGGAGCTTTAAGATTTCACCACGTACTATAAATCTTAACATGAGTTCTTATAATGGCGATGATCAAAGAATCTTAAGATAGAGATTTTTGATCGGTGATCAATACTATCCACTGTGTGAAGGATAAAACTGGCGGGCGTTGACATGTGACGAGGGTGAGAGCGGCTGCCCCTCTACCACATTGTGCCTTTTATTTCGATATACCAAGTGCAATAACTCGGTGGATAGAGTATAGTTGCCTTTCTGGAAAGAATATGGAAACGAAGCTGTGAGTCGACCTTCAGTAGTAGGGTCGAAATGGCAATTTGAGCGTTATTTTTACTGGAATTTCACTAAATTTTTACAGGATATTTATTTCCGACCTACTCTGAGTCAGGTGGTGTCGAGTGGCCTAACCAGGGTTTTTACCTATTTTTTTACAAGATTTTTTTCAGGATTTTATACAGGCTTTTTCTTTTTTGACCTAGCCTAAGTCGGGTGGTGCGGAGTGACCTAACTATCGATTTTCGAGCTATCAAAATGTAAAATAATCTAAGTGCGGTTGTGTCCAGTAACCTAGTCTGAGTTTGGTGGTATCGAGTGACCTAACCTCCCTCCACCATTGTCTGATGGTGCAAAAATAAATAACAAATAGAAAAATACCGATGTGTGTTATCAAACCTAAGTTCGGTAGTAACGGAAGCCTTATCCTTAGTTCGGTAGTCAACGTTGATGCCTCGCAGAGGAATTGTTTCGGAACCTTGGACGTCAAGCACCGGAGTGAAAATTTCAGATTTTCATTTTCGAATTGACATCGTTAAGTACAATCATTCTTCTGCAGGCCCAACTTGGGTCATGAAAAACGGTACGAACATTCTTCCTTGAAGCATCTTGAAATGTAGATCCAAGCAGATCTCCATCCAGTGGATTTGATGTAGACCCAACCAGAAACAGACAGCTTAGCAATGAGAGCCCGGCTGGAGCGCCAGACCAAGCTGGATGATTCCGAGAGCTTCTAGATTTCGATGAATATTTGGAAACCTCAAAGGACACCATTCTGGAAGAACTTTAAGAGAGAAAGCGCAAAACATTGATCAATTCTCAACTTCAGAATCTACGTTGAGTACGACGATGATGATGATGATAGGGAGGGTTCACAACTACACGCGTTCAAACTGAAAACATTATCCTCCTCAAATCGACCAATGAGGAGACAGTTTACACTAGATTCAAAGCTAAAATGAATAAGAAGACGGGCAGTCTAGGTTTCAAGTCGGGTCTACGTCAAATCCTTGGGATGGAGATCAGACTGGATCTACATTATGCGACGTATCAAGGAAGAATGTTCGTACCGTTTTCCAAGACCCAAGTCGGACCTAAAAGAATGATTGTATCTAGTGGTGTCAATTTGAAAATGAAAATTTGAAATACACACTCTGGTGCTCGACGTCCAAGGTTCTGAAACAATTTTTCTGCGAGGCATCAACGTGCACCGCCGAACTAAGGTTACAGCACTGGTCATCACCGAACTTAGGTTCGATAACTCACACCAGTCTTTTAATGTACTTATTTATTTATTTTCTACTCCCCTTATTTTTCTTAAAGCATATTTTGCACCACCAGGCAGGAGCTCAGGTCACCCAACACCACCACACTCAGTGTTGCCCCCACCAGTAAATAAAAATAAAAAAAAAAAAAAAAAAGACACTAGAATCCTGACCAAACCGCGTGTGCACGACGACTCATTCTGCGTGAGTTTTCTGAACTCTCGGCTTCCTAGTTTTATTGGAAGCTTGGATGTAAGTGTTTCTTAATTGTACATTCATGAATCACCACGGTAAACATTTGGACGTATTTCTACCAAACAGACCTATGTGTAGGTGAGAAATATGGGGTGTGCTCTAGAAAGCTACATAAGAAGCATTGTAAAAGTGGGCGTGATTCCTTTTGAAGAATTGGAAAAGCAGGATTTTATATTCTATCAAACAGACCAATATGCCAACTGAATGCGAGATTCGTGAGCCGCGGGCATGGCAAGAGAGCGTTGTGGACAGGGCTCATGAGTTAAAGCGCCCCGACGACGATTACCCCTCGCGCGTGTGCTCGATCATTGCCGCTGACGTCACGGGCGCTTTATTATTCTCATTCACTCTTACGGCCAGAGAACTAACGAGCACACCCAATGTTTCTCACCTCCACATAGGTCTGTTTGGTAGAAATACGTCCATTTCAAAGACTGGTGGAAAAGAAAACCCCTTTTTAAAATTTTATTTTGCTGCATTTATATGCAGATGAAGTTAAAACGAACTCGCTGAAGAAGTATTAATTCTGTTTTTTCTGAAGTCTCTCTTCGCAAGAGCCTTTCAGAGTTGTTTCGCTCACCACGGCGAATAAAACAACTTAAATCACGTCAATTAAAACTGGGAAAAAGGTTAGTATAACGTTACGAACTTAGGACACCTTTCTTCCGCACCTCATTTTTGCCTGGAATCTTTTTTATGAAAGCGTTTTGGGGTTTTTTCGCTCACCACGGCGAATAAAACAACTCAAAATAAATCTAGTCAATTAAAACCTAGGAAAGTGTAGTATAGCACCATGAAGTTATAACACATTCTCCATTCCCAAAGCGTTTTGGGATTTCTTCGCTTACCATGGCAAATAAAAACAGCCTAAATAAATTGCATTGATTCAAATAGAATCTCAGATAGAAAACTAGCACAGCTCGCTCGAGCTCAGAACTTTACCTCCACTTTATTTCTTCCGCAGAGAAAATCAAATTAAAATTATTCAGGAACAATCGTTGCCAATAGTTCCCAAACAGGGACCGAAAAATCCTACAAAAAAGCGGAAAGGCTATCTTTCCTGTTTGTCTAGAGGTAAAAATAAAACTGTGAGTAAAATTCAAGCAGTCCTCACTCGGCAGCGGGAACAAAGGTTTAATTCCCCGCACTAAATCGCCGCGCTACGGTGACCTAGAGTACCTTTATAGACAGAGTATGGCCATTTCTGTTCCGGTTTTTCATTGGTCGCGAGCGAATAGGCTGACACGATGCTCTTGGGGCCGTAAATAAACAAACAAGATGGCTGTTATCAGCAAGCAAGATTGAGGTTATGCACATCTTACATCTTCCTGTGATAAAGGTGAAAGGCGATTTAACAATGTTTTCGGGTTTTTTTCGTGTGTTATTCGTAGATATGCTAGTTTAAATTGTTACTGCCGTATAATTGAAATTTTTGTCAAATTTAGCTTCTTATTGATGTTACGGTGAGTCGCCATCTTGTTTGTTTCTTTACAGCCCTAAGAGCATCATGAAGCCTAAAAACTCGTTGACCAATCAAAAAGCGGAACAGTTTTCCTGTAGTAAAAAGATACGAATGGCCATACTCTGTCTATAAAGGTACTCAACGGTGACCGAGCGGGAACAAAGATGGAGCCAGTTTCAAATTCCCCGCCCTAAAGAAAGAGCCAGTTTTGAATTCACCGCGCGAACACGGCTCCCTGTTGGCTCACCGCTGCCCAGTCGGCTCCGAACGCATACCAGGAGCCAATGAGATCAGTCCAGCTTTGGTAGCGCTGGAACGTAGAGCTCACGGCGCTCCGCGGATCCACGGGGTCATAGTGATTTGATGCCTCTTCTCCTCTGCACACTTTTTCACCATAAATCAATTGCAAATTTTTAGCCCTGTTTTTTGGCCACCCTGCGAATCATGTTAGTAGGATTTTCTTAAAAAAAAAAATACAATAACTATGCGAAGCTCAGGACTTCCATCACCTGATCTCCGCATGAATTAAATAGACAAAATTCATAGAGGCAGAAATTAAATTAATAATCTGTGTCTTTTTCTCATCGGGAACATCATTGTTCTTATTTAAAACCTTGCGCGTTTAAAAGCTCAGGCTTTAAAACTGAAAAATTCTTGTCTATGTTTATTTTCATTTTTCTTTTCTTCGTGTCTCAGGTTTCACGTTGTGACCAGACTATTATCGTTTTATCTTGTGCGACAAATTAGTGACTATGTTTCGTCACTTTCCCTCGCCACGAATTAAATGGGCAATGAAGTTATTCTTGCAGCAAAGATTATCAAAATTATTCATCGCCTGGCACTATAAGAAATATTGCTCACTCATTCACTTAAAAAATGCATTAGAAATTTTCCGCCCATTAAAGTACGGATGCAAGTTTCTGCAGAACTTAAGCATTCACTTTTTCAATGCAAAAATTATTACGTCGTGAAGAAAATCTGAGTCTTTCTTCTTAATTTACAAAACAAAATTATTCAAGATTAAATGAACCAGCTTCCACATTAATGTGTGCGCCAATTATTAAGTATGCTACTGTTTACGTAGCTCCTCTTTTTCATTTTACTTTCTCTCAACTAGCATCCACTTCCCGTACAAAAATTGATCACGAGCGGGAACGAAGAACGAAGAAGGATCCAGTTTTGAATTTCCTGCGCGAACACCGCTCCCTATTGGCTCACCACTGCCCAGGCGGAGCACCGCCGAACGCATTCCAGGAACCGATGAAATCATTCCAGCTTCAGCAGCGCTCACGGCGCGACGCTTGCCACTCCCGCCTAGCCAGCACTTATCATCGTTGAAACTAGCATGCGGCACTTTCATTCTTTTTGCTTTTGGTCGCTTCTAATCACCGCTGCTTGCTATGGTCGCTTTTTCGATCTTCTTCATAAATCTACCACAAAACATTTCAATCTACACCTGAATTCGCTTTATATCAGTAATCAAGAACCTGAAATTCCCCGTAAGGCTGCTCATTGGAACCATTTGATGAGTTTCACCTGTTTTCCGCACGCATTCTCCCACGGAACTATTATATTTTCTGAAAAGTATACTTTGAGAGCTTGCTCGAAGCTTTGTTCCTTTTGGCTCTTGCATGGCATGGTATACCCAGGGACTCCGCATCAGTCTCCACTTGTTCTCTGCTGCTCGGACTGAAAGGATCTCCCCTGGAAGACTCTTGGACTGGACTCACTCTCTCACTTAGGACTTCGACCTGTATGAAGAGTGAAAAATTGCGCTCAGCTTTAGTCAAGGATCAATGTCACTGCAAGTAATCAAGAAGGCGCAGTTCTGGCTTAGTAGCGGAGGCTCCTTGCTCGCTTGAAGAACGAAGGTGGTGTTCACTCTTGGCTCAAGCTCTAGATCACCAACTCTTACAAATTTCCTCACCAGTCCAACCGAGCAGTTGAAGAGAGAAAGTAGAAAGTGGACTTGAAAACTGTCATATTATTCGACTCATAGCTCAGTACGCTACCAATCGATGCGTAATTAATATTTTTTTTTCTTTTTCAGCATTCGCGACTTGTATGCGAATATCCTCTGGATTTTTGCATACAAGCTTTGCTCATTCACTCTAAAACTCTCCTTTCCTTTTTCTGTCCTTTTCATTTTTTTCAAGTCCCTTAATTAAATATTATCCCAGCGTATGTTGCAATTCTAGCTTGCGAGTATACATGGCTATCCCGCATACTTATGACTTCACTTCTTTCTTAAATTGGGTTATCCTGACGTTTGCTTGCGATCACGTCAGTTTGCGAGTATTTTTGGCTATCCCTCATACTTATGATTTCAATTTCTTTCTACACAATCCTAACGTACGTTTGAAATCCACATTAGCTGCGAGCATCCTCCCTCGTGCTCATGATTAAAATTCTTTAGCACTTAATCTCATTTACCCCAGCATACGTTTGAATTCATGCTTGGTTTGCAAACATTCTTTCCAGGTGCTTACGTGTTATTCATTCAAATAGCTCACTCTAAAACGGCCCTTCTTAGGGCCACCAAGTCCATCGAGCTCTCTCAAAATCTTCGAAATTATTAATCCACTGCAAACACTTCGGTCTTTGCCGGTTTCTGGCCACTTCGTAAATTAAAACCGGCTGATCCCTTGGAACTGAACTGAACTTTACATTCCTTTGGCTCGTTTCTAATATTTATTATTTTTTTTTAGGCCCTCGCCGTTTCACTTAGGTTAGGTCACTCGACAGCACAGCACTTATTTATTACTTCAAAGAGAAAAAGAAGGATCTGTTTGCATTTCGGGCATCCTGGATTTTTTTGATGACATAGGTCGGTGCGGTGCGAAGTAAAATACAACTCATACGACAGAAATCACTAAGAGTACCTCCTGACAAAGATTCTAACTTTTTTGGTTCCATGGGGGAGGGGGGGAGGGAGAACAAATGCATGATTAAGAAGCCTGAAAAAACTATTGTGGTGTGCGATTTGACTCAAGTAGACTCTTATTTATCATGTTAGTGGGAAAGTCAAATTGATCGTAACCATTACAAAATAAAATCGTTAATACCTTGATTGGAAATTTATTCCAAAAGGTTTCCTTGTGCACATTGTTACACATGAAATTTTGAACCAGAAACATATCAGAATGCTTGAATATGTGCCTTGTCTGGTGGTCCGTTGAAAATGCAAAATTCCTCTTACTTTCTTTTAGACTGATAATGCAAACCTGACTGGTGCGGTTAAGTGAACAGTAAGTAAGAGGAGGGGTATCGATAAGGGCCTGTTTTGCCCCATCTAGAATCTGGAAATTTAAGCGGGTTTTCCAAGTTGACTCAATGTGAATACATGTGAAACGGTTGCCTGAACATACGTCTGCAGGTGTATTTTAGCATAAATGCGTGTTTTTCTATCACTTCGAGGCTTTTTTGACACCAAGCGCATCGTCTAACTAAAACAAGCTTTTGATATGTTATCAAGGAGGCTTAAAGACACAGTTTAACCCTAGTTTGGTTTTAGTTAGATGATACGCTCATAGTTAAAAAAAAACTTTTTCAAAAGTCGACTTTTAAGGGACAACCCCAAAAATCTTGGAGAAACACGTCTCTCCAACTGTATGCACGCTACATATATTTATCGAGGTCAATTATCAAGCCTTGTTAAACTTTTACAAGGAGATTTTCTTTAATTGTAACAAAAAAAAAAAAAAACCCCTGACAACGTAATTCTGTAAGATTTCTGCGGATGTCCCTTAAAAGTCAACTTTTGAAAAAGTTGTTTTTAACTATGAGCGCATCATCTAACTAAAACCAAACCAGAGTTAAACTGTGTCTTTAAGCCTCCTTGATAACATATCAAAAGTTCGTTTTAGTTAGACGATGCGCTTGGTGTCAAAAAAGCCTCGAAGTGATAGAAAAACACGCATTTCCGCTAAAATACACCTGCAGACGTATGTTCAGGCAACCGTTTCACATGTATTCAGTGGCTTATGGACCAAATCATGATTACTTTCGTAGATTACATTGAGTCAACGTGGAAAACCCGCATAAATTTCTTGAATCTAGGTGGGGCCACAAAAGGCCCACTATGGGGGGGGGGGAAGGACCTTATCGATACCCCTCCCATTCAAGCACTGCTCTGATATCTTCTGAATCTTCCGAGAGGATGGACGGACACACTGACTTCCCAACCGGCTTGTTAAGAATGGACACATTTAATGGTTGAAAAAAATGTAAAGAAAAAAAAAAGAAGAAATTCTGTTAGCGTTTTAACTTCCATGTTTCATGCATTACACCTTGGTTCAAACTTTTGCCATTCAGTTCTAGAGTTCACAGTCAAGGTCCTTTTCACTTAAAAAAAAGGAAAATTTGAGTAAACATTTGAAGAGCTAGACGGCATATTTAGATTTTTCTCAAAAAAGAAAACAGTGCAGTTTCTATACAAAAAGATCTTGGAGCAATCTGGGCAGTATTACAGACATTTATTTACCTTCCATTCAACTTCTTCATGCATCATTTCCAGAATTTCAAAAGTGAATTACTTATCAAGGTTCCATCACCAAATTTTATTTTAGGAAGTTGAAGAGAGGAACTTTAGAGGAGATTGTTGATATGAAACACTGGACAGAATCTGAACTAGGAAAACTCATTCGGTACATGTTTTTTTCTCTAAATTGCGTAGAGAATGACTCATGCTATGGGAAGTCAGAAATAAACTTCTGAAGAAGATTTAAACAGGTCTTTGTGTCACGGATCAAATGGACTGCATTTTGCAATTACGAACTATTAATTCTGGGTCTTCAGGAAAAACACTTATGTGCATAGGGAAACTAATGGCACATACGTTGTTTATAGACCAGGCTAGAATTTATAGTTCCAAATCGCAAAATGCAGTCCAAATGAAGGTTAGATTATACAAACAGCATCATTCATCATTCGATCAATTTTTATTGTAAACACTTTTGTCTTGCCTGGAAGTTAATTTCTAGACTTTTTGTTGTGCGATTCGTTTTCCTTGTGAAATTAAAAAGAGAGAAAATGTTGAATAAGACACGTTCGCACAGCTTGCCGAGCTGTTCGTCAAGCGACCTGACAAACACCGAAGGTCACCGCGCTTGTCAACCTGCTTGTCAAACAGCCTGACAAGCAGATCGGCAAGCCGTGTGAACGTGCCTTTAGTGCTTTAATTCATACCACTTTTAGAGGCCTATTGCCTACCTGGAACACTGTGTTTATGTGCAAACTATCTTTGCCAACACTAAATTTGAATAATGAGGGCTGGACATCAAATTTGGTGGCCCCTGGCCCTTCATAGTACGAGAAAATATGGTAGTCACCCGAAGGCACTGCTGGAAACATAAACTGGCCGGATGATTGAGATTTTGTGAAGCAAATCGGGAAGAGGTCCTTTTTAGGGATTGGGAAGTTTGCAAGATTTTTTGTTTCGCATCCAATGGCTGAAATATTTGGATTCTGGAATCAAAAATGTAAATAGTTATGGTATTTCATCAATATAAAGTAAAACGTTGTAGGTCAAACATGAGTAAAATAGTTTCTACTAAGTGCATTGACTGCCACATTATTTTGGCACTTATTTCCTGCAGGGCTACAAAAACGCATGAAAGACGCCCCCTGGAAATTCGAACGGTGCATGCCAACAAATTCTTTGAGACAATTAACACTAGCGCCTTCTATCGAGTATTTAGTGGTGCTGCTGGTTCACTAAAATGCTGAGAGATAGCGCCCTCCGCGTAGCTAAGCTGCACCGGAAAATCAGCTGCGCGAGCGCCTATTATTTACAACCATTAGTTAGACCTCCGTGGAATACATCGATACTGGTGGAATTTACCAGCGTGGCAGTTAACATGTTAAGTAAATAAATAGTATAGATCAGCGAAACTGACTGGCTAAATTTTTTGTCTCATTATCACAACACAGAATGTTTCCTAATACATAAGAAACTCTCTCTAATCAACAAGTCACTGGCTTATCTCTCGCTTTGGTAGTAGAGGCTCTCTACAACAGAGCAACAGCTCATACTCTAAGTGCAGAAAATGTGGAGTGATGGGTTGAGAAACGAACAAGTTTTCAAGGTTTTAGCATACTGAATCTGATGGCTTGATGGCTAATTGCAGGGCCGGACCGGCCAGGGGTGCTAAGGTGCTGTAGTGCCCTATCTTTTTTTTTTTTCTTTTTTTTTTCCAGATGAGTTGCACTTTGGTGGCTCAAAACTAAAGTTTTTCATGAGTACACCACCGATTTTTTGGAGGGAGAGGGGGCTACTGAGAAGGTTGTAAGAGTGTACCCTTTAAAGGCTCCAAATTCAAGCGTCAAATTGTTTTAATCTTTATAGGGAGATTCGGCTCTAAATTCATTGCATCTTTTCTCAGTTCTCTTATGGGAGTTGATTAAATTCTTCTTCACTCTATTCCACACGGCAGTCACATCCTTGGGGTCAGACAGTGTTAGTTCATTTAAAGACCAATGCAATGATAAGGGGTGGGTGGGTGGGTAGTTGAATATTATTTCTAAAGGGGTGTGTTTGTGACCTTCATGTTCCGCTAAATTAAAAGCCAGTTGGATCCAATTGAGATTTTCGTCCCACGTATTGTGAGCGTCAGAATGGTATGCTAAGAGAGCACTTTTCACATTTTTATTGACTCTTTCGGCAGAATTTGCTTATGGGTAATAAGGTGGAGTTTTAAGAAGTTTTACTCCTAGGTTGTAGCAGAAGCGAATAAACAACTCAGCACGAAAACAGGGACCATTGTTGCTGGTAAGAAATTCAGGGAAGCTGAATGATTGAAAAATTTGCCGTAAAACTTTAATGGTGGTGTTAGCTGAAGCTTGACGCACTGAAAAGAGCCAAATAAATTTTGAAAACTGATCGATGCAAACAAAAATATGCATATAACCGGATTTACTTCGGACAATTGGACCAACGTAATTAATGTGAAGTTTCTTCATAGGTCTAGACGGAACCATGGACGCCGGATTTCCAAATCTAGTGTTCTGGGCAGGTTTAGCAAAGGCACAAGTTTTGCACTCTCGAACTCTCTGCATAATATCCTGATTCATTTTTGGGTAAACGAAATGTGCTCGGATTTTTTCTATGGTCTTGAAGGATCCAAGATGAGCTCCGAAGGATGAATCTTGATAGTACTTGAAAACCATTGGAACAAGAGAGCCAGGAAGTACAATTCTCGAGGCCTTGTATCGCGCTTGTTTGCAATACAACACGCCACGACTTAAAGAAAAAGGAGGTATTGAAATACCTTTTTTGAGAGCTGAGATTTTACCAGCAAGCTCAGGGTCTTCCGCTTGATATTTTTGGATATCCGTGTAGGCAAATGGAAAAACTGGCACTGATTGCTTGACCACATTCACAGTTAGATTTGGTGTTTCAGGAAATTCCTCATGAAACATGCAAGATAGGCAATCTGTCACGACATTGTCAACACCTCTAATGTGACGTACTCTGAATTTAAGAGCTGTTAGACGCATAACCCAACGACCGATTCGTCCGAATTGGCGTGGATGAGACAGAACCCAACTCAACGCCTGATTATCACATTAGAGCTGAAATTCTCGATGTTCAAGATAGACTGCAAATTTGTCACGAGCAAAGAGTACTCCGAGACACTCGATCTTGTACTGAGTATACTTTCGCTCGGCTTGGGTTAAAGTTCGAGAAGCATACGCTACAGGAAGGTAGGAACTATCAAATTTTTGCATCAAGACGCCTCCAATTGCCTGGAGAGATCCATCTGCTTGGACGAGGAACTCTTTGGTGAAATCTGGTGTCCTTAAGATAGGAGGACTAATAATGCATTGCTTGAGGTTTTCAAAGGCTGTCTGTTGTTCATCTGTCCAGACAAATAGAGCGCCTTTCTTACGCAACTTAATGAGCGGTAACGCTCTTTCGGCGAAGCAAGGAATGAATTTTCTATAGAACTGTGTCATTCCCAAAAATCTAGCAATGCCTTTTGCGTCTTTGGGAGGTTGAAACTCTCTAATAGCGCGAGTACGCTCAGGGTCAATTTCTAGACCACAGTTGGAAATTAGGTGTCAGAGATAAGAAATTTTTTGAACTGCTATCTGGAGTTTCTTAGGATTAATAGTCATTCCGGCCTTCCGAAAGCGAGACAACACCTCATCCAGTAAGGCAATTAACTCCTCGAAAGTTTTCGCATAGAGTACAAAATCATCGAGAAAATTTACAAGATTTCTAAAGCGCAAATCATGAAATAATTAATTGCCTAAACGAGTTAGGACTTGAGCACCGGTGGCTTAATCAAAAGGCACACGGTTCCATTCATAAAGGCCAAAAGGAACACAGAAAGCGGTGAAAGCTTTTGATTGCTCAGACAAAGGAATTTGAAGATAAGCGGAGTTAAGATCTAAGACACAAAAATATTTTGCCTTACTGAGCCAATTGAAGGCTGTATTAGTGTCTGGAAGTGGCACTGTTTCTATGTCTACACTTTGGTTAAGTCGCCGATAATCGGTGACCATGCGATGAGAATCGCCCTTTGGAACAAGGAAAGCAGGTGAGGAATAACTACTACGACTGGGTCAGATGACGCCTTCCTTCAAAAGATGTTCAATATGGCTGCGCAAAAATTCCATTTTTGGAGGTGAAAGACTATAAGGTGAAGAATGCACTGGTTTGGTACTGTTCATCACGATATCATACTCTAAAGAATTACAACATCCAAGTTTGGTGGTCACCGTGGCTTTATACCTCCTCAGAAGTCGATACACCTGGCGGCGCTTACTAGAGCTAAGGTGACTAAGGTCAGGGCCTTGATCTTCTGAGGTTCGACTACTCTCTTAGGATAAAGGGTCCTCAATTCCAAAGCAATCTGCTTCAAAGGATGATTCACAATCTAACATGCGAGTCTGCTCATAGGCTCTGATAGGAAGACTGTCTTGTTTCCTAGCGAAACTAAACCAACAACGACCTTGATACAAATCCAAGACAAGGCCAGATTTTCTTATGAAATCAGAGCCAAGAATTACATCAGTATGTAGGCTGGGTGCTACCAAACACTAGAAAGTCCACGAGTTTTCAATCTTGAAATGAATTTTAACGCACTGAGTAATAGGCATTGGTTCATGTGCTGCCGTGAAACAGGAAAAGTTACAATCCTCAATTAGGATCAGATTAGGATTGATCTGATTTGTTTTAAATAGCAGTTGTGTTCTTATATAAATAACCTTGATTAATATGTTTGTTGGTTTGAATACTATCCCTTTTTCTGTTGTTTTTAGTATGATGATCCTTTGGCTTATAAACGTTATTTTACTTACTAAGTTTAAATTTATGAATCACATATATCTTATCATTTGTTTAATGTTCGTGTTAGGTTTATTGATTTTAAATTTTCTATCAGTTACAACATCTTAAATACATCTACAACACATCTTGGGTAATACATCTTGAATTCTTCAGAAGATTAAAAGTTTTTTCATTGACGAGGCACCGAGCAGCGCCTGAGTCTGCAAGGCAGGAAATTTCATAATTGCCAAAATTAGCTCTCAAATGAGGCAACGGGGCAGCGCGTCTAGCACCTACTTGATAACAACTGAGGTCTGGATAGGGACTATTACACATCTGACTCCCGCTGCAATCTATCAGATGCGAAATCAGTTTTTTGGGTCAACTCTCTTAGGGTGATCCCGTGAAATATGCCCTTTAATACCGCGGGTGAAACAATGACGAGGGCCTGGAGGGCGATTATTATGAGAAGAAGAAAGATGATTTGGCTTAGGAACGTTGGGGCTCACATGATTAACTTCTGGAATAGGCTCTGGCACTATACGTTCTAAGACATGGTTCACAACACGCTTGTTAGGAGGTTGAGCTAGATTGGGTCTGGCAAGAAAGGCTTGTTTCAAGGAAGTAGACTGATTCTTTCGCTGACTTTCAGCAAACATCCAGTCTTGAGCAATTTGAGCATGACAAATAAGATCAACAAAGGTTCGAGGATGTTCTTGGAATGTAAAATACATGCCCATGCCGGGGTGCATGTTGGGAATAACAATGTCCACTAGTTCAGACTCAGGTCTAGGGTCGCGAACCACACCAGCTATCAGGCTAATGTCTTGAACAAAATCAGCAAACAATTCAGCCTCAGCCAGGAAACGATCGACTGAAGTATATTTCAGCCTGCGCCCCATCAAGGCTGGTAGCAAACCTAAAGCTGCCTGATGAAAAATGTTAAAATCACCACCGGAATTTAACTCTTGGGTGACACGATAAGGCAGAGGAGGTCTGGTGATCGGGAGAATACCTTCCAAAATATCAATATCAACACTACCTATTTTATCTCTGATGCGAAGAACCTTTTTTAGAAAAACGATTAGTTTCTCAGGATCGAAACCATTTGCTTCAGGCGGACCCTTGCAACAACCGAGTCATGGGGTTCGGTATCTTGCTGTAAACCTTGGAATTTCGAAGCCAAGAATTT